TAAGGCTCATTTTCTGCTCTTTATACTCACCGTATCAAAAGCAATAAATCTAAATTTAGATAACTGCATTAATTTGAATTTCGCCTTTATCTCCTACTATCATAAAAAGTAAATAAAACGAAAAAAGTTTTGAAATATTAATAATATTAATAATACAAAAATAAATAATAGTATCAACTCAAAAGATAAACTCACAAAAGAATGTTTAGTTTTTCGGCCAAGAAAATGCATATCTACGGAATCTCTTTTAAGTTAGAAATTCTTATGGAGTAAGTTTAGTTCAAAGAAAAATTTTAAAGACACAGTAAGATGCTTTAAGATGAAACATGCAGTATTTTACATTGAATTCTTAATCAAGTTTTGCAAAAAAATTTCAAAGGTGCTGTATTAAAAAGTTTAGCACTGCTGATTTCTGAAATATGCAAATCACATTAATTTTATGCTGTAATGTCACTTTTTAAAAAATTTTCCAGATTTTATTGAAGACAAATAGCTATGAAGATCTTAATAGAAAATTATATCTATGGAAATTTATAAATGCTCTAAAAAGGTTAGAAAGTCGACTTTTTGGCAATGAAGTTTCAAAATGAAAAATGCAACAGGGAAAGAAATGATTTCTAATCTAACAATTTTAGTAGTAACTCAACTATGACTCTCTTATTTTTAAGCAAGAATTTAAAGAATATTTCCATCTTTGACAATGAATCAGAATAAATTTTTTTAAAAAAATCAACTACAAATACCATTGAAAACTTATTTCTTTTGACAAAAGAAAAATACTTATCAGCAACAAATTTTATTACTTCAAGAGTCCATTAATTTAGAAATATCTATTAAAATAATAAAAAATTTTAATGTCATTCTTGTATGTAGGAATATATGCAACTGGCATATGAAATAAATGAAATACCTTTATATAAGTTGCTTGTGAAATAACTAAAATGTCAAATGCAGAGAGAAAAATTAAATAAATAAAAAAATGAGCTTCGCAGATGACTACAAGTGAGATGAGTCTTAACATTTTTCGTTTCATATCTGTGAGACATATATTAATTCAGCAGTTTTAAGTTGAGCACATTTAAGATAACATGACAATGATTTAATAAAGTACTGTAGGTGGTGTAAAATAAAAGCAAATATAAATTTAGTAAATTTTGAACAGTATAAATTTAGTAAACATTTTCTTGAAAAAGTTAATGAAATATTATTTGCTGAGTTGTCTCTGCCCCCAATACACATTTCTAAAAATTAAGTCAAATAACTAGTTTGATGCCATCAGTCACCAGAAGCTAATTTTATGACATAACAGATACATTTTGAGTACCCTTATTTCAACATTTCTGAATCCACTTTTTTTTTTAATCTTTAGAATTGTAAACGCTTATTTCAGGCATTAAGAATGTCACGTAAATAACAAAATGAGGTCATTTCTTTCGTTTGAATAAATATAAAAGCATAAAAGCTCCATTACCAGTCCATTCTGCAAGCAATGAGGTCAGGATAAGTTTAAGAGATGCACAATTTTTGAAAGGAAAAAAAAAACTTTTATTTAAAAGGCATTTCTGAAAACCCAGTTTTTGCTATCATCAGAACTCTCAATTTCTGAATCAGTTCCAAACTGAGTATTTTGATCATTTTTTTCTTTTTTCAGAAACGGGAACTTAAGCCATAAAAGATATTTCAATCAGAGGCCAGTGCCACTACAAACAATGTAATTGCACCAGGTGGCAGAGTTTTAAAATAGAAAAATTTTTAGAATTCATGGAGGCATAAGGCAACAGAATTTCATAGTCATAAAGAGTGCTGATGACGAAAACGCCCAACAACAATTCTGCTCAATCAGCATAATGAGGAATAATAAATGTTATTCATAAATAAATGCTTCTTAAATGAGTTAGTGTTCAATTAGTTAGCCCAAATGTATGGTTTCTTGCATTTCCATAGAACTTCTATTCATTGTTCCAAACATGAGAACAGTATGGCACATCATTAGTTTTGAAGAAGTTATATAAGAAGTTTTAAGTGATATAAGAAATATTAGACTCCACTAGTAAAAAATAATAGGTCTACTATTGAGTAATTATTAACTTTTGGGAGTGGTTATGAGTTTAAAATTTGCATATTTGTTTTCAGTGCAAGATAAGATTTGCTCTGTGACATTAGTTTTTAAAGATCTTTCATTGAAACTAAAAAGTCATGTACTATTCATGTACAAAATTTATAGATTTATAACACTGAAAAGAAAGGCTTTCCAGCTCTGAAAGCCAATGGCATGGCATGGCTTTTACTGAAGAGGACTAGGTATGAAGAAAATTATAAGTCTAAGATTACTGCACCACAGAAGGCAGTGGCGGTGAGCTTAAAGAGGTAAAATTAAATACTATTGTTTGTTTATGTTCACAGAGATACAGGTCACTTTCAGAAGTGGTCATATTAAGAAGGTGGTTTTTATGAAAGAATTTTTTTTATTTTGATTATGAAGACTAATGAGCACAATAATAGTTAAAATCCTCTGATGAATTTATGAAAACTGGATAAAGACTGGAGGTCAATGATCTTACCTTAATAAATAAATCATTTCTTTAATTTGACAGATGTCATTAAAAATAAAAATATTTAATCTCAGAAAGAGCACAAGAATAACAAAGGAGATTGCTTCTTATTTTGCATATAGTAATTATTTTGAAATTATATAGCATTTCACTCTGCAGTAATAGGTACAATGTTTTATGTTTGTGCAAATGAGAACATGTGGAGTAAATATATCTTTTGTCATTATTTTTGTGTCTTTTGAAAATAAAATACCCCCAGAAAACATGACAGAAAAGCGATTGAGAGACTATAGGGTTGAGAGACAGATAGCTAATGAAAGCAGTATGAAGAGCTAGTCCTACACAAGAAATCACTGTAGTGTGGTGTATTTAATTATGGCAAAGCACACTAGGGCTATCTGCCTAAGGGGAGGGATGCCTTCGTGGAGGACTTTCTAAGGGAAACTGGCTTGTATACACGTTACACATGGGGAAAACCACGAAAACACCCATGCAGCCAGCCTGTTCACAGGATTCGAACCTCGGACCAAACTACCAGTGTTCAGCGACTTTACCGCTCGGCCACTGGTGGGCAGAAATCACTGTGGAGTATGCATTGTTATAAAATTTAATTAGAGTTTGCATGAGCATGCTCTGTAATGAATTCTTGTATATGACTAGATTTCCATATTGCTTCCCTCTCCACATTTTAAACCTGAAACTATTGCATCAATATATTTTACTTAATTATTTCATGTACCATAAGTATACTTTCATGAAGATAAACTAAAATACAGCACTAAAAATTAAATTAATTTCCTTATAAGAATAATGATTGTTGAAAATAGAAATTTGCATTTCTCCCTGTTCACGATTGCGCTGAGCAGAAAAGGTGAACTATATAACTGTGCAGAAGGTTCTTCCCGGTGGGGAGAGAAAGGGTAGTGTGTCTTCCCGATTCTGATGGTGGTTGCCGACATGGCCAACAGCATGGATTCTCTCAAGTATTGTGCAGAAATGTGATACATGGAGTCCTAACAAGGAACAGAACAGTGAAAATGAGAATCTACTCAAGCATTCTGGATTATCTTTCTACATTGCCAAGTACCTGCCTGTATAAATAGGACTGTTAAGCAGGATCAAATCATGTTGTACCAATCAAGTACATTTGTACGTTATCCATCATATAATTTCATTAACATGTCATATACTGACACAATATGTCTATCTATGTAGTTAAACTTAAAATTACTGATTAAATCTTATGTCATTTCAACTTGGTGCAATTTATACTTCTGTAGTAGAGAACCTCGGCTCTACAACTACCATTATGCATAACTCTCAAGGTTCTTTAATGAACACATATTTCAAAAACAACAATGAAGAAATTAAAATTTCTTACAACTTACTGCCAGTAATCAACAGCATAGCAATGAGAAGAATAGGTGAAAGCCAATTAGACTTCCTTGCATAAAGCCAGCAAGACTGAAGCTCCTCTCATTTCCATGAACAATATAGAGGAAGGAATATTCCTTCCTTTTCTATGGCAAAAACTGGGTACACTCAAATACTGTGTGGTTTCAGAACGTAAAATGATGTTCCTTTTAATGCTATGTATAAATATAGTTGAAAATGTTAATAGACAGAATGTTACGGAACTAACCCAGTCCCTCTAATCCACTGATGTCACGTTACTGTCTCAAAGATTTACATTTTCTCTTATAACAATGGTGTTTCAAAAGCAAATAATCTCCAATGCAAAAGATGATGTGAATAAGTAAGTAAAGTAAATGAAAATATCTGCATTAACACATGCATGTATTATTATAATTAAAAAACTGAATGAATCTAAAATAACCACAAACAAAGCTGCCTGAACTAGTCAGTGATAACAAGTCTTTACAAACGGCAGTGATCATTTTGGAATTATAAGACAGAATAAGGACAAAATGGGACTAAATTTATCATTTCAATAAAATACACGAATTACTTTCATGTTTTTGCAAGTTTTGATATGTATGTTTATCAAGACTTATATTTTATTACACTAATAAGAAGCATCAAATTACACAAAAAAGCCAAATCCTTCGCATCATGCACACATCAAAAATAAGATAACCATAAATGAGAAAACATCAAAACGCTGTATCAGTAAAAGCTGAAATATAGATACCATATTTACAAAGACAAAATGAATGTGTAAAATATTTTTTTCAATAGAAACATTTAAATTCTGTACCTGTATAACAAATAGTTTTTAAGATAAGGAAAACTGATAAAGCACATTTTCCACTATGCAGCCAGATTAAAAAACACTTGGTGAAATTTTCATCTATAGGTGTATACGTTACAGTATTTCAAAACCAATAAGAATACATTCTAAAATTATCTCTGCATTCTACGATTCAGAAATTTCTACGAAATTACCATTGCTATTTTCAATTTATTTCTGAAATGAAATATGCTTACCTGTGAATCATTAATGGGTGTTTCAAGAAAACTGTCAAATGTCTCCAAGTCTTCAATTTCAGATAATAAATAGTCAGATTCACAAGGGAAATCTTCTGCCATGAACTCTGGAAATTCGGTGGGAGAAAAGGCTTCCGTAAGATTAGAAAGCCGTGTACTATTATCAAATGGTAGGTATGAATCTTGAGTTAGACCATTTAGTACCTCATTTTCAAACAGTTGATCACCAGAAAATTCCCCATCATTCAAAGTTGACAATTCATCAAACACATACTCTCCTGATAAAAATTAAGTACTTTGAATAAGACAAGATAAAAATATTTATGTAACAGCAAAACACAGATATTTGAACTATAACTTACCTGTTTCTGAATCAATGGTGTAATTCAAACCACTTATAGGATCTAAAACTGATTCATCTTTCTCACAATCTTTAATATCATCTTGCAAAAAAAATTCCTGAAACTTTTAAAATTTATCCATGTTAGAATAAACATGGTATATTAAGAAAACTAGCAGATATAACTTACAAATACATTCTATTTACTAAACCATACATATAAATTTTATGAACAAACAAAATTTTTAAATAAGCCATGGTTCTCCTATACACTAATAATTAGAGAGAATAAAAGCTTTTCTTCAGCTTTCTTGCATTTTAAAAAGAATTAAAGAATTTAATTTCTTGCAAATTATTTTCCCTTCTTAAGTGGGAGAGGAGGAAAAATCTCAATAAGATAAAATAATTTTTATCTTTCCTACCTATACTTCCTTCTTTGTGTAGACAGGTAGATTAATTAATATTTTATTATCATCAGTTTTTATCAGTGAATGGGATAACTTTAAAAGGAAAAGGTAATAAATTAAATTCTTCTAAAACAGAGAAACAATGAATCAATATGACATTGTAGTCCTATTCTGTAAAATGTTAAATGTGTAACACAGATTTACAATGCTTCCTCCTTCCCACATACACATCTGCATTGTTTAACTTAAAAACAGAAATGTCAACTTAGGCTTTAACAGCGTGAAATCGCATTTTCTACCAAGAAAATATCAATAATTGTACAACATTTTAAATGGCTGCAAATACTATGTAACAAGCCCTAATTATATATTTATATTAATGTTATTTTAGAGACTTTATATGAAGACTGTATAGGAGCTCATGTTGCTACTTCTGTTGATGGAAGGTTGAAATGCAAGGTTTAGGACAATTGCAATGATTTTAGGGGGAAATTTTTTTGCAGCAAAAACATTGGCACCTGTCATCTTTCTTTGAGACGTTCTCAGTAAGAAATTACACAGCTTTGCAATCTTTTATTAGTTCCTTAATGTCTATTGAGCTGGGAATGGAACCTGTTTTAAATTTCACATCTGTCTTCAACTTCAGTGAATCTCCCAATTCTTAAGCCATCATCAGGAAGAGGATTTCTGATCTCTGAACACCTTTCCATAGCTTCCAGTTAGCAGGATATTCATGCAGTTCTGGAACAGTGTCATGCTAAACTTATAACTTATTTGTGGTGTCAAAAACAATTGTAAAGGAACAATGACAGCACAAGAGAAGACAAGAGAAAAAACAACGTTTATTGGAATTACAAGTTCTCAATGGGCCCACCTTTGCAGATGATAACACATCACATGCAACAGATTGTTGACAATTATGGGGAACACTGCATCGCAGCAGAAATCTGTATAACTTTACATTTTAACACCTTTCAACTCTAATAAATCTCATGGATTTGATGTGTATAGCTTACACTGCAGATAAATCCAGAAACAGAAACCTGTCAGGGCAGGCGATCGTGGTGGCCACAAACTGCAAAGGTAATGGAGATGACTTTATCTTTAAACGATGTATACATAGAAAACTTGCAATTTCAATAAGTTTTTCCCCTCTCCTCTCTTGTGTTGCCATTGGCCATTTAAAATTTTCCTCTTTGCAAACGGTTTATGCCAATTCATTATGTGTATCATTCCAACGCCATTTGCAGTTTCTCAATGTGCTGATCAATTTGTGTAGGAAAAAAAGGTGAATGTTGCCATTCAAAACTTTGAAAAAAAATCCCCAAAAATTTATTTTCAATGTAACAAGAACCATGAGAGTTCTATTGTTTTAAACCATCACAATCTCGAGCTCATACCTTCAAATAACAATGTCTGAAATTTCTTTTTCGATTGGTTGAGCTGATAGGAAGCTAGGGTTCCTATATTTTAGAAAATACTAAAATTAAAAATAATTAAGCTAAAAATATTTAAGTTTCTAATTTCAAAATTATTTCTTATCATTCAAAGTAATTCCCCTAAATGAATAATTTTATGCCAAATATAAATTATTTTATCTGCACAGTTAATAATATTTTATTACTTTATGTACCTTTACGTGAGAAAATAATAGCAAACGTAGCAAAACTAAGAAAATACAATGACTGCCTTAGATGAAGTATAAAAATTATCATTATATAAAAATATGATCTCTCAATGTCATGCTAACTGCTGATGCATTTAAAAAATAATAAATACACATTATATAATAGAATTCAGTTACATCATTATTCAATAAGCAAACTGCATATTAAAATTAAGATGCAAAAATTATCATTACATGTACAATTTTCAACATCAGCTTTGGTATTTAATGATCAGCAGAAACAAAAAGTAACCCATAACTTTCTCTCTGCTTTCAGTTCAGTACTAATGCTTCCTCCCATCCCATACACAAAATAAAATATTGGAACATCATATTTTAATGATTATTTCAGCAACTGATGATAAAGACAACTTTTTAACTCATCTAAAAATCCCATCACAGATTTTCAAATTGCACTTCAACAGAAAGCTAGCAGCTAATTTATGAATGTAACTCATTTTCACTGAATGATATGAAGATAAAAAAAAAAATTCATTTATGAATTGCATTCACAAACCAAATGCAGGTTTGACTATGTAACTCATTTTCACTGAATGATATAAACATAAAAAAAAAATTAATTAATTAATTGCATTCACAAACCAAACGCAAGTTTGACTATGAATCAATAATTAGTAGCAATTCATCCTTATTTTAAAAAATTAGTATATTTAACAGCTTAAGAACCAAATATTCTATTTTCAACATTTAATAATAATGGTGATATAAAATTTCCTACAAAGCAGTAACATGCATAAAAGCATATCATGAAATCAAACTTTATATAAGAAGAAAACAAAGAAAGTGAGAGAAAAAGAAGCTTAATTCATATATGAAAACATTATTTATATTGTACATAAGCACTTTATTCCTTAACAATATTAAGCATTTTACTTAGTGAAATCCAAGCTTTCTATTCACAAAAATAGATATATTTAACATATCAAGAAATATGTATGGTTCTTAATTCCAATAATGCAAAACAAATCAGTTTTAAATTCCTAATTCATTAAATTGCAAATATGATTAAAAATAAAGCATATATCAAATCATTCTTCACACTATTAATTCATAAAATTACAGGCCTCTGATAACCCACATTGCAAACAATTCAAATTTAAGGAAACAATTTTACTTAAAACAAAAGAAATTAATACTTTGATTTAAAGATATATTTGATAATACTGCCAAATCTCGCTCGGTTATTGCTTTTTTGGTCTACAGCAATATCTCAACAGCTTAACACATACATTGTGCATATAAAATTATAAGGTGATTAAGATGTAATTTTAATCAGCTGCTTTCTAAAATATTCTGAAGCAATTTCATAGAGTGATACATAAAATAAGCTCATGTAAATTTTCATTTGAAGTTGCATTCTATATATTAAAAAAAAAGGAAAACTTGATTAAAATTAATCAATTTTAAAATTTATTTAAAAAGGACATAAAAACAGTAAAATCCTGCATTATAGCTGCAAACTGTGCATTCCTCATGAATTGTATGTGGCTGTATGGAAAGGTTCCAATTCCCCTTCATAACTTGTGATCTTTTATGGAATCAGCAATTCTCTTGTTTTATGCTTCGGATTTTAATTAACAATTCCAGTTTAATTATCTATAAATTCTAATTATTAAATTTCCCCAATAGTACAAATTTACAATCAAAATTTCATTTCGCATTTCAGAGGAGATCATTTATATATATATATGTGTGTGTGTGTATTTTCTAGAAGATTATCTAATATATTGTCTCCATTGTAAGTAATAGTTAGAAAATATTTTAATTAAAAAATAATGCAAATTTCAGATTTTCTTGCAATGAAAGATACTGATGTTGCATTTAAAAGCAAAAGTTACAGAAAATTAAATCCACTGTTTAAGAAAAGTAAGCATTTATATCAACATATAACAAACTATTCTTACAAAATTTTAAAGGCCAACAAGTACAGAGAAATTATCAAGTATTAAACAAATGCGAAATTTTTCAAATATTTGTACTTACAGATTCTTTTGTGTATTCAATATCTTTGAGTTTTTCCACTTCTGAACTCGAATGGGAATCATAAGCATCTCTTGTAACACCTAGATCAATATCTTGCTTCCATAAAATTTCAATAAGATCCATGTCCTGTGAAAATAGTAAATCTGTGAGTAAGTATAAAGATTACTCATGCATCCATACACATTTCTACATAGAAGTAATTAATTCCTTGTGGATCTGTAAAGACCATTTTTGATAAAATTTGAACAAATTCCTTAACAGAAATGAAATTTAAAATGCAACACACTTTCAATCAAAATTTTACATATATTTCATTCATAAATCTGGATTTTCAGTCACACTTAATTTGAAAATACAAATCAGTAAATATGATGTTATGTAATACAAACCTGAGCACAGCAGTCAGGCATGGATTTTGGATCTTGACACGTAATGTACATTCCGCGATTTAAGCCCCGAACATGAAAACTAACCCAAATACACTTAAATATCAACGACAAAAATTAAAGTACATGCGTAACTTTAATTAAAAGTTAAAAGCAATTAAGCTAATATCAACAAGAATTGACTGAGAGTTTACAATTTTACAGAATTGATGAAATAGGTTGCAATCAGCGAGATCACGGATACTACATGGTATCCATATCTGAGGCTAAAAAAAAAAAGAAAGAAAGAAGGAAGGGAGATAAAAAATGATTTCGGACTAAGTACAAATTTTATCAGCGATTCACCGACTACATTTCGTTGATAAAAATTGTTTTCAGCAGCACAAAGATGGCGCCACTATTTAGAGTAGCATTTTAAAGTTGACATTAATACCTGAAAAATAATACCGCTTTAGAACACATTAAAAAACATTGGCTGCTCACGAATGATATCGTGATCTACAGATGGCGTGGATCAACAGCAAGTTTTAAGATAAAAGTAAATTAGGCTACGCTGACGAGTAAAATAACGTTTCATAACCAAGCATTGAAGAGAAATATTTTATAAATTACGATTTTTGGACAGAAGGAGGGAAGAAGCTTAAAAAGTATAAAATATGTAAGTTTGTTTAGATAATCACATTCCACATGGAAATTATTCTCTTAAATTTTAATATATCTTTTTTCTAACATAGAAAAATATGTAAATGCCAGGTTTTGCGAGCGACAAGCAAATTAATAAAAAACACTCCCTTTCTCTCCTCCAATGAGCCTTATTTCCATATACCCGAAAACTTGGATGCACAAGATGCATCACGCAGACAGAAATTTGGTACGCATAATCTTTTCGTTCGAGTTCATGCTCTGAGATGCATTTTTACATTTGTGAACGATCCGTGTTTGCGATGACGATTTTCTTATTCTCGTTTGACAAATATAACATCACCTTCTTTCCCTTAGTTTAAATTTCCCTTTTATTAAAAATGTTAATAAACTGAGAAGGAGAGACGTAGATTTCGAAAATTATGTGAACATATATAGTTACACCGTACTTTACAATCTACAGTTCTACGAAACCTCGAAATTACAAATTCACCTTTTAAAAATAATTATTTTTGAAGGACGAAATTCTCCCCCCCCCAAAAAAAAAAGAGAGAGAGAGAATGAGGAACTGAAAATTATTCAGATTTGTTCCACCCAACAAAAAATGACTGTTCAGCACGTACATTTGCTATGGCAGCGTCATCTCGGAGAAAAAAATTCGAATTAGTAATAATAATACCTTACAGCTCCAACTTTACTAATTACTGCTAAGAACAAATTAATTAGTAAAGTAGAAGTATTTCTCTACAACAAAAAGCTTTGCTAAATACTGCATACGTTAGAAACACACACACACACACACACAAATATGCTATTAGTAAAAACTGAAATAATACTTAAAACAGACAAATTTAATAATCCGATTTTTAAAATCAAATAAATGTGGATGACCTTATTTTTCCCTCTCATTAACTTTTCCATTGCATATACAAAAAACTGAATTATATATATATATATATATATAAACTGCAAAGCTAACGAACTTAAAGATTGATTTTAAAGACTCCAACAAATAATATAATTTAGTTATAATAGGATGATTTCTTAAAGAATTAAACTACAACGCGTATAAAACAATTTCTTACGGGAAACATCAAAAACACCTTTCGCACCCCCTCCCTAAAATGTTATGCAGGTCAGTCCGTAAGTTCGTGCGCATTAAGAGTATGCGTGGAATTCACTATGATGCATTTACTAAAAGAATACAATTTTGAACCTGTTGAAACTTGTCATTGTTTGACTAACATATTATTCAGTTTATCACCAACTTTCGTAAATATCGAACGCATTTTAGTACCCATAGAAGATGAATATAGATAATCAGTACAAACGTGCTGTGCTACATTATTTATTTTCGTGTGGTGAATCTGCCAGGCCTACAGCGATAAAAAATTAATAGTGTACAATGGTGAATACACTATTAGCGTAAGGACTGCCCAGAAATGTTTTAAAAAATTTAAAGTTGGAAAAAGCAGCATGGATGATTAACCCCGTTCAGGACGTTTTGAACTGTTAGAACCAAATCAAATGATTAATTCAGAAGTTTATAGTGAACAACTTTGCCGTCGAAACTCAGAATTGATCAAAAAACGCCCACGATTGATGAATATCAAGAAAAGTTTTGTTTCATCATGATAACGCTAGACCGCATACGGCTCGCACAACGCTGCAAAAAATTTGTGAATTTAATTGGGAGCTTTTGCCACATCCTGCTTACTCCCCAGATATTGCCCCAAGTGATTTTCACTTATTTCATGCCTTGCAAAATTTTTTATTGGGAAAAAAAATTAAATTCCAAACACAATGAACTTTCAAGTTTTTTTGCATCAAAACCAGAGTATTTCTGCAGCAACGGCATAAAAAAGCTGTCTGTAAGATGGCGAGACATTGTAAATAATGGAGGAAAATATATAATTGATTAAAATGTTAAATTGTGTTTTTTATATTATTTAAAAATTTACCATAAAATGCGCACGAATTTATGGACTGACCTAAATTCTTCTCATCACAACAGGCTCAGTTATCTGAAGAGAATTAGATTTTACGTAATTAAAGCTTCCACAAAACCAATTACGCACATATAGCTTTATACACACCAAATTTGCTGTTTTTCTTTTTATAAAAACTAAATCAGTGTCGCTTATATCCATTATTTTTACTTTTATCTTCTTTTTATTTTTAACCTCAAATACGTTCGCACTGAAACAGCAAACAAATTAGAAACGTCAAGTCAGATTTTAAAGTTGGTAAATATATTCTCACATTTCAAAATCTTGTGAAATTTTATTTGAAAAACTCAAGGTAATTCCACATTAAAAAAATAATAATAATAGTAAATTAATAAAATAATGCATAAAGATACACGCAAAATCACCCCGTTTCACTAATTACTAAACAAACTCGCCGTTCTAATGCATCTTTAATAGTTACTCAATTTAAACAAAATTTTGCATATTAATCTCTTATGTCTTGTACAGGGTGCAGCAGGGAAACTACCTTATTTTAAAAATGAATAACGCAAATAGAATAAGCGATATAAGTTTCATTTTTCCCAAGTCATAGAGAGACCCTAAAGTTTCTTTTTTTTTTTTTTTTTTTAATTTTTTTATTACGATTTAAAAATAATATCATTAAGGTGGCCTCCATTCTGGTCAATGCATTGAGATGGTCGAGTTTTGAAGTTTCTTTCCACTTTTACCAGCATGCATATCAACGGGTATGTTGTCGATAGCAGCTTGAATATTGTTCTTCAGTTGAGCCAGGGTCTTTGGATTAGAGATTTCAGATAGTCCCACAAAAAAAAATCACACGGGGCTAAATCAGGCGAGCGCGCTGGCCACTGACAATCGCATCGTAAGCAGATAAGGCGTCCAGGGAAATGTTTTCCAAAAAATCATGGCCCAATTATGACTATTCTAGACCACACCAGACAGTCACACGTTCTGTAGAGGCTGCTCATGAAATTCTCGGGGATTCGTGCCACTCCATTATCGCATGTTTTGCTTAATTCATGCTGCAACACGAAAGATGAGAATGACCCTCATCGCTAAAGAACACAAGGGTATCATAGGCTATGTCAAAAGCTCGCATGATTTTTCTGAAAGAAATCGCTGGATTGTTTGCACCATGCCATTTAACGATAAAATGCAGAACTAGAAGGCACGACCACTGAGACGCGCGCTGCTCCTCTCCCACAGATCGTACAACCTACTGCATAAAAACTGACTGATAACTTATAGCCAGAATACCACTGAGATCAGTAGTTTATCTGGCTCAATCAAATTTATGCCAGATGGGCACGATAACATAGAACTATCTTCACATAATGTCCGCAGTAAGGAGGAGCAAAGACGGATAAAGAATAGGAAGACCAGCAACGCAAGAGCTCACTAGCAAGTACCCGGCCCGGTAAAGGCGTGACTAACTGGGAGTCATAAAATGAGTGTAGAATGTGAATAAAACTAGTGAATTTAAGAAATACACAAAGTACAACACAGAGTAAATGAGTAAAATACAAAATTAAGAATGCTAATAAAGACACTATGGGTACATTATTTACAGGTGGGCACTAGGTGGGAAAGTTCGGGTCCCTGATAAGGTGGGCCGCAAGTGGGCGCAGTTTGGCGTCCTCATTCAATATTTCGTAGGTAAAGATATCAAAATTTCTCATATGGTCACAGTTCAGAGCTTTCGTGAAGAATTTCCTGTTGATCTTATTCAGGTGCTCTTCTAGAGTGTCCAGTTTTAAGTCACAGTGCAGTGTAGCATTGCTCACAAAAAGTGAACAAGACTTGGCATGATTTGAAGCCCTCCTTGGTAGCCGTGTAAATATGATATCTCCCCTATTTTAATCTTTCATTTAGCATTACTCCTAAATATTTCGCCTTACTAACTCTAGGAATCTCTTCAGAGAATAAGAAGAGCTTGCTATTAATAGTCAACTGTGTATTTTTCCTCCTTATCATTAATAATTGCGACTTGCTGGCATTAATAGCAATCTTCCAAGTCGTACACCACTTTTCTACCACTGGTAGAAGCTCCTGTAACTTCTTGATTGCATGGTGTGCGTTTGCGGACTTTACGGCTAATGCCGTATCG